GCTGCTTCAACAGTAACTGCGGTTACTGAAACCACGCCTTCTTTCTTTTCGTGCACATTTGGGCGGCATTATGCTAATATTTCCACATAGTGAGGTAGATATGTGGGGCGTGTTAGAACGAGCCGTTTTAGGGGGGCGTGGCAGAGTCTTAACTTTGATAAAGAATATCTCTTTGGTTTTGAGACTTTAGTCTTTGCAACTTCAGGGATCTTATCTATGCACAATCAGCTTGTAACACTCCAAAGAGAAAGGAAAACTTGAAATCGCATCATATGACCCCTTTAAGATAAATATAATAAGACTTAAAGAGACAGGTCACCCAAAAATGAAAATTCGGTCATCATTTACTCACCCTCAAGTGGTTCCAAACCTGTACGAGTTTCTTTCTTCTGTTGAACACAAAAATATTAAGCAAAAAATGAGCACAGAATATTTGAAATTTTGGTAACCAGACAGTTGACGGTAGTCATTGACTTCCATAGTATGGGAAAAATATACTATGGAAGTCAATGGCTCAGCAGAAGAAGGAAACTCATAGTTTTGGAACAACTTGAGATTCAGCAGAGGATTTGGGCGAATGCATCTTTAATATCTTTAATATTATGTTCATTTTTCCTTCTTCATTGGCAAATTGTGCAAGGATAAATTTAGTTAAAAATGTTGAAAAAGCTGTGCCAGTAGCTTAAGAAAAGTCAACTTAATTTAAGATATATTCTCTGAAAACAAACCCTACATTTTCAGAAATCTGATTAAGTGTATTTATGTAAAATAATTGTTATTTTCTTATTTGCTGTGTTTAAAATGAGTTCTTCATAACATATCAGCAATATCTGCCCTGGACTCTAGATATCAACAACAGCATTAAAACCCCATATTGGTGACACTATTAGTAAATACTATTTCAGCATGAATGTCATCTAAATAAGTTCAGATAGTCTTATTTAAGTCTGGACATTCTGCTGTCTGTGACATCCTTACCTGGTTAACATTTGGTGTGTGTGTGTGTGTGTGTGTGTGTGTGTGTGGTTCTAGTCAGTCATCTGTATGGCTTTGGTTTGGTGGATGCCGAGGCCATGGTGGTGGAAGCCAAGAAGTGGAGAAACGTTCCTCCTCAGCACACCTGCAGCAAAACCTCTGACCGCAGAACCCGGTGAGGAGAAACTCACTTCAGCTTTCACACGGACAAATATAACTCGCTTCTACTTTACTCAAATACTTTGAAAGAAATTAATACTTATATCCATCAAGGATGCATTAAATTAATCAAAAGTGACATTAACAACATTTATAATGTTCCAAAAAAAAAAGTATCTTGTTTTCCAGTACAAATGTTGAAATACCCATAAACCAACATAAAATTACTTGAAGTTTTTATCAACTGTTTATTTATAAGGCACAACTGTTTTCAACATCGATACTGAAGACTGGAGTAATGATGCTGAAAATTCAACTTTGCGTCACAGGAATAAATTACATTTTAAAACATATTTAAATAGAAAACAGTTATTTTCATAAAACCTTCAAGGTCCAAGTAAGGAAAGGTCCAGAAACCCAAATGGACGATCCATCGCAAATGCTGCATTAAACCTGCATTTAAAACAAAAGACTCCATGTTATGAAACCGTATATATGCTATCATACCACCCATCACAGTTACTGTCTCATCTCATTCGTTTAAAACACCTTTAATAATGTGGAAAACATCCCCAATCTACTGATCCGTTTCCAGACGCCCATCCTCACATGTGACCCTATTGAATCTGGACGTCTCTGCAACAAATCCTGCTTTTTCATTTCCAGCAATGTCTGATTCTGATGGGAATAATTGGAGGCATTTATTTCCATCAGCAGGGCAGGGGTGGGAACTGGAGCATGTCTAAGCGTTATTAGCTCATCATCGGGTCTCGAGAGGGATGGCGTGTCGTGCGCTGCTTTGAAGAGCGACGTACAATCAGCAGACGTGTCGAGATGAATCACTTGCGCATTCAGTACAACACTTCAATTCTCAATTCAAATCCCCTCGATATAACCTCTAAGAGCTCTGAATTACTGAGATATTGTGGCAAACTACTAGGCTTTATGACAAAGTGTCCATATTTCCAGGAGTATCTCAATTTGTCTGCTGTGCCGCGGTGCTGTTGGATATTGAGCAGACACTTCCTGCATACAAAGGAAGTAGGAGATGTTGCAAAACATTCTTCATTTTTGTTTGATCCAGCACAGTTTGTATGACAGTTTAGAGGAGTAACTAACTAAAAGTAGTGACACTGTATATTAGCATTTTTTGAAAGGGGTCGTGAACTGAGAAATTAAAATTCCCTTGATCTTTTGACATATAAGAGGTCATTGTACTATAAAAACATCCTGTAAGTTTCAGAACTCAAAACTTTCTTGTTAGTCTAAAAACAGCTTATATTGAAGTCAATCTGCCAAAACGACGGGTTGTGGAATGTGCCACTTTATGACGTAATAATGAGGCTAAACCCCGCCTCCACAGAATAAGATCAACGCCTGCTTCTACATCACTGCCTGTTTAGCCCCGCCCACCGATTCTACAGCACTGCCTGTTTAGCCCCGCCCACCAATTCACACATGTAGTGTAAATACCGAGAGAGGCAAACGCAGGTCTATGCAGAAACCAAACGATAAAGATGCTCCGAAGACAACAAGACGCTGTGGAAAATCATGTGGCTGTGACAGCGCTGTGGCTGTCAATCATCAGAATCAGAATCAGAATCAGAATGAGCTTTATTGCCAGGTATGTTTACACATACGAGGAATTTGTTTTAGTGACAGAAGCTCCACAGTGCAACAGAATGACAGTGACAAGACAGGACACAGATAATAAAAAGAATAATATACAAATATACAAAATAGACAATGTACAAAAAAGCAAAAACACAATATATAATATAGACAATATAGACAATTTTGTATGTAAATGTATTGTTTGTATGGATGTATTGATTTCTTTTTTAGGTGAAGGTGGTCTCTCCTCTCTCATTAGGTCATAGATCTCTCTTATCATTACTCTGCCCTCTCCCCTCATTGTGAATAACAGTTGAGTATAAAAGCTTTGGTGCACCTCCTCACTGGACCTGGCAACGCTCCTGAAGTCCAGAGCTCATACAATTATAAGACACCATCCCCCAGCACTGTGGAGAATCAACAACTGGCAGACGATCTGAACGAGTTTTATTGCAGGTTTGAAAAAACACCATTCACACCTCCTGCAACCCCCCTCTCCCCCACTTCAGCACTCCAGATCAGTGAAGATGATGTGCGTCAGGTCTTCAGAAAGAAGAAGAGAAGAAAAGGCAAAGGCAAAATCATACACAACTGTTAGCCAATCATAGCAGTGGGCGTTTACTTCTGAGTCTACAATCCGCCACGCCTATTCAAACAGAGCGTTCTGATGAGGAGGGTTAAAACAGGACAGAAAACAACCTATTACTGCTAAATTATGATGTTTTTTTATCTAAAAATCTTGATAACATTATAAGTGGACCTCAGAGAACAGTACAAAATAATAAAAAGGCAGTTCATGACCCCTTTAAATAGTATCAGTTTTGTTTATGTACTATTTATGTAGTATTTTAGTATATTTTTAATTAGCATTTATTTTTATATTTTACCTTCTCATTTTAATTTGTTTGTTTTAATAATTGTATGTACTTTTATAATTTTTATTAATATAATTTTTATTTATATAGCTTTAATTTAGTTTTATTTCCGTTTTAATTTTAGCAATTAAACTAATTTTATTTCACTGAGCTACCAAGACAAAATGTCTAAATGAAGTTTTTTTTCTTTACTATTTATGTATTTTTTATTTATATACTGTTATAGTATTTATTAATATTTTGAATGATTTTTTTTATATTTTCAGTTTTCAATTTAATTTTTGTTTTATTTTAGTAATTTTATGTGTTTTTGTCATTTCAATTAGTATTTCTATCTAGGCTTTAATTATTATTATTATTTTAGTTTTAGTTTTAATAATTGTAATACTTGTTTTATTTCAGTTAGTTGCCAAGGTGAAATTTCTAATTTTTGATTTTTGTTCTAATTTTTGTTCTGTCATTTTAAGTTCAAGTTTTTCTTCTAATATTTATATTTTATTTTATTTTAGCTTCATTTCAGCCAGTGGAAATGTGTTTTAATCGTTTTAGTGAACAAAAACATTTTCATTTCAGTAGTTGTTTTTTATTTCAAGAATTTATAATGTTTATAAATTATTATTTCTTTAATTCTTTTTTATTTCAGTTTTAGTTTTAGTAATGTTAATACGTCAGTATTTCAGTTAGTTGCTATGTACTGCATTTTGCACATTAGTGAGCTTGAGCATTAGTTTTTTTGTTTTTGTTTGCATGAACCTTTTTCGTCTCTCTGGGTCTTGGATGGTTGCATTCTGTCATGCAAACACAACCGTGCCACATTGACACAACACCATCACCTTGTCAGCACAGAACCGGCACACATCACAGCCGAGCGGCATTGTGTCGCTCACACGGACCCTGGAATGTTTGGCACCGCTTCCTGCAGCATTGTTCCGAAATGGAGTTTGAATGAGCGACTATTCTGTGTGGCTTAATTTGAACTGTGATATCTCATGCTGGCACGTCCAACTACTGATTTATATTGAAAGGGATTTTCTCTCCTTTCATATCTGGCCTCAGAGGATGTGCTGTCACTGCATTGAAAGGCAGATTATGGTGGTGATCTGTTGAAGGGCATGATGAAACACTGTGACCTTAATGCTTTATACTGTTTTGTTTTAGTACAGTTTTAGAGACAATATAAAGCTGCCTTTTTTTCTGATGTAAACAGATGTCAACCTGAAATGGTTATCAGGAGTGATTCATCCTTATCAGCATTCAAACTTGATTATTCATGATATGTAATTTAAATAACATCACATTTATATCCAAATGGTAATGAATTTGCACAGAGTTTGACATCAAAGTCTTCAGTCTTCAGCGTCACATAATTCTTCAAAAATCATTCTTATATGCTGATTTGCTGAAACCGTGATACATGAAATTTTTCAGGATTCTTGATGAATATAAAATGGAAAAAAAAAACAGCATTAATTTGAAATAGAAATATTTTGTAACATTATAAATGTCTTAGTGATTTGGATATAATGCAACATTTACAATAAAGTTAGATTTTTTGCCCTTTGTATTAAAAAGTTTGGGCACTTCTAGTGTTTATGATAGTAATTGGATAGTTTTATCATAACTGTGCCATTCTGGACAGATGAATTAAAAAAAATCATTTATTTTATTTGTTTTCAACTCAAATTTTGATAAAACAGTCTACACTGAAAACTAAATACTATGTAAAGCAGCGCAATATGAAAACACTGCTATTAATCATCAGAACATACTGGATGCTGAATATACTGCTGTATAGATCAGCATTTCACTGAACTTTGCAGTGGTTATCAGTGCATAAATCATGTGCATTAATTTAAACTTGCATTCATGCTAGGGCTGTAACTGTTGCATATGTGCTCATTTTGATGTGCGTCTTTAATGTATTGTGTCGATGGCATCATCTGTCCTCCATCAAGGATGCAGCATGACTGGATTTCTCTTCCTCTGTGTCCGAGTTCACATAATTTGCAATGTGTGTTGAAAGAAATCGATCATCAAACTGAAGCAGCAGCTATTGATCGTCTCTCAACCTCGTGTCTTGAGCCGGCTGATGGGATTAAAGACCTGTCAGTGCATCTCTCAATAAACTCTTTAGACACATGTCAAGAATTTGGACATTTGTCAAGAATTGCCCTGGGTTAGACAGGTAATTGTTTTTAACCGCTGGTTGATGCTCGAAGTGTTTAAAGTTCTGGGCTGATACCAGAAAGCTTTGGGTTGAATCTTGCAGGAGGCGATGAATTGCTGTGTATGAATGCATCTGCTATTTTACTCGTCCTAATGCTTGAGGAAGAACAACAGAAACTTTACATTTTAGTCTCAGTTCCACAAAACTGTCAACATTATTGATGGTCGATTTTTACCCTAAGTGTTGAACATTGGTGCTTGACATCATACTGGTTTTGAACGAAATGAGACTAAAAGTCAAAATTGTCATATTTACTCAAAGCAGTAGTTCATCCAGATGAGTTTGTTTTTCCATGGGAAGTGAATGGGTGCCGTCAGAATGAGAGTCCAAATAGCTGATCAACACATCATATAATCCACACCACTCAGTTCATCAATTAACATCTTGTGAACTGAAAAGCTGCGTGTTTGTAAGAAACAAACCCACCATTAATGTGTTTTAATATTAAAGCATCGATTCTGGCCAAAATATTCCATAATACTTCCTCCAGTGAAAAATTCCATCTACCGTTGTTGTCTTACATCAAAATCCCCCTACATATTTGTTTTGGCTTGTAAATGATGCCTGATCTGTGCATATTTCTCTCCTGATTCAGACGAGACGACTTTTTCACTGGAGGAAGCAATATTATTGATTATGAACTCATGTTTTATCCAAAGTTAAAAACGTCTTGATGGATTTGTTTCTTACAAACTCACAAGACGTTAACTGATGGACTGGAGTGGTGTGGATTACTTGTGTATTATTGTGATGTTTTTATCAGCTGTTTGGACTCTCATTCTGACGGCACCCATTCACTGCAGAGCATCCATTGCTGAGCAAGTGATACAATGCTGCATTTCTCTAAATCTGTTACAATAAAGAAACAAACTCATCTACATCTTGGATGGCATGAAGGTGAGTAAATGTTCAGCAAATATTCATTTCTGGGTGAACTATTCCTTTAAGTTAACTATTCCTTTAAGAATCTCAAATTTAAAGTATAATGCGTTTACCAGAATGCACTTGTGCTGAAGACCATTAAACATAGGCTGGATGACTGTATAACTGGAAAAAGCATTTAAAATAGTCTCAGTTTGAATGGTAGGAAGAAGTTTGGTTGGCACAGATATTTGGGTTAGACTAGGGCAGGGTTTCTCAAATCTTGCCCTGGGGGTCCAATGCGCTGCAGAGTTTAGCTCCAACCCTGATCAAACTCACCTACCTGTGATTTTCTGATGATCCTGAAGACATTGATTAGCATGCTCAGGTGTGTTTGATTAGGGTTAGAGCTAAACTCTGCAGGAAAGTGGATCTCGTGGGCCAGATTTGAGGATCCCTGGACTAGGGTGACCAGATGATAAAAAACCAGGACAGGTCAGAGATGTTCTCTTGAGTAGTGCACAATACAAATGAGACCTGGTGCAATTTCCATTACTGTTTTAATACACAGATTTCTAAAAGTGAGCATGCTGTAGAAAGTTTAAATTGATATGAATCTGTCAGATGGCAGCCAGTGAAATACTAGCATGTATTTCATGAACACAAATGCCGTCATGTGCATAATTACTCACATGCACTGCAGATGTTTCCTTACCTCTCCAGATTCAGAGGAAGCAGCAGATGTATTACCAACTGTTCTGTGAACAGGTCAGAAACTACAGCCCACCCACTCTTGTTAACTTCAAAGAAGCAGTTCACTTCGAAATTCAAACTGTGATCATTTACTCTCGCTCATGTCTTTCCAAATCCAAATGGATTTTTTTTTTACTTTTTATTTTTTGTGTGAAAAAGAAAAAAATATATATATATTTTTATATTTTTAGTTAGCTTTTATTTTTATGTTTTCAGTTTTCATTTTATTTTAGTTTGGTTTTATTAATTTTTATTATGCACTTGTCATTGTTATTAATTTATTGATTTATTAATTTATATTTATTTCAGTTTTACTTTTAGTCATTTTAATAGTTTGTCTATTTTTGTAATGCATTTTTTTTTTGTTTGGTGTCAAGGTAACAGTTATAATTTTTGTTTCAGGTTTTAATTCTTTAAATTTAATTTTATTCCAACTTCATTTAAATTAATGAAAACAATTGTTTTAATAGTTGTAGTTTAGTTAACAATTACAACTGTGTAACTTTAATTAAATATATTTTTAACACTGAAATTTTTTAAATTTATTGTCATTGTTATTTTTATTTAAAATATTTCTGTTTAGCTTTAATTTGTATATTTCAGATGTACTTTTAGAATTGTACTCCAACTTGAATTTATTTTATTTCAGTTAGTTGTTAGCTTTAATTTATAGCTATTACAAATGTAGCTATAGCAATTTTAAAATTAAGTTTCAGTTAGTTTCCAATTTTCCTTTTTTAAAAAAGATTTTATCTATTGTTTATATTTCATTTTATTCCAGCTTTATTTCAAATAACAACAATAAAATAATAATTAATACTTTTAGTTAACAATTATAACGCTGTACAGCATGGCTTAAAATTAAATAGATTTTTAAACCTTTAAATGTCAAACTGTATTGGAGAAGTAAAAGGTTAATTCAGGTTAGAAATATACTTTATGTTTTGGAATAGAAACAGCACAAATCACAGCAAAGCAAATGCAGCCAAACTAAAACTGAGGCTAATCATGAAGACAAACGCGGTTCTGACTGTATGCAACGTCATCAGGGCACGGAATGAGGCTTGTAAATTCAGGACATCTGGTCACACTAGTGTAGATACAATAGAAGAACATGTTGTTGTAGCAAGTTAATCTCTCACTGCCGGCTAAACAGGCTCTCCAACAAGAGCTGTTTTTGCGGTTTGCTCTTTGTTTTGGGGTTTGATCGATGAACTTGATAAAGCAATTTATTTATGGAAAAGCATGAATTGTTAGTTGATAGTCAGTATGGATTTAGGTCGAACAGATCCACATCCATGGCATTAATGGAGTTAATTGAAAATATTACTAGTACTATAGATAATAAGAACTATGCAGTGGGAGTATTTATAGATTTGAAAAAAGCTTTTGATACAATTGATCACCGTTTATTAATCAATAAATTGGAAAATATGGTATCAGAGGGGTTGTACTTGATTGGATGAAAAGTTACATAAGTAACAGACTTCAATTCGTACAAATTGGGGAACATAGATCAGAGTGTTTAGATATCACATGTGGAGTCCCACAGGGGTCGATTTTGGGTCCAAATGTATTTTTATTGTATATAAATGACATATGTAGGGTGACAAATCTCTTAAAATTTGTGATTTTTGCTGATGATACTAATATTTTCTGTGCTGGGGAAAATCTGCAGCAGCTTTTGGAGGTGGTCACAGCAGAAATGAATAAGATAAAAATGTGGTTTGACAGCTGCCTAGAAATATACAACAATTATTCACAGATAGACATGGGTGTTATAATTTGAGAGGGGCTTTAAATATGAGACAGCAAAATGCACAGACAAAACTCAAAAGTTTGTGTATTTCGATTTGTGGGGTGATATCGTGGAATAGCTTAAACGGATATATCAAAGAAAGTGTTCATATGTTGCAATTTAAAAGAAGGTATAAAAGATTTATTTTTGATAAATACAGAAGTGGTGGGTGAGAGTGAGAATTTCAACATTGTTGTTAATGCTGTTTGATTTTGTTTCTGTTTGTCTTCTTTATCTTAATAGATAGATAAAGTAGGACGTAATTTGGACTAGTATTTTTGTATTATTTTTTTGTATTATTCAAAATGGTATGTCTGATTTATTATGGCTGATTGTTATTTGGTATTGGTAATTACTGAGGGTAGGATTTAATAAGCCTAGGGCTTCTACCTACCCTTTTTTTTATTTCGAACAGGTTGAATATATGTTAAAAAAAAAAAATTATATTTGTTGATTTTTGTTTTTGTTTATTGGTACTTATTTGTATATTTATTATGTGTTTTTTCCTTTTGTATTTTTAATAGTTCGAAATAAAAAAAATAAATTGAAAAAAAAAAAAGCAATGGAGAATAAATGAGAAGTCCACCCGATCTAAACCGTGTTTGTGTTGTAAAGATGTCAGTCGTTTTGTTTGTGGCCATTCCTCGGAGAACACTGTCCTGTCCAACACACATTTTTATCTTCCCCGCATCTATCCTATAAAATCTGGTTATCAAATTAATCAAATGCACAATATCCAATTCTTTTATTGCGGTTAGTGATCTTAAAATGTGACTTACTGCAATAAAATGTTGAGCATCATATATGCTGCAAACAGTAAGCATTATTTTAGTATTGTTTATGCAGTGTTATAATATTTATTAATATTTTAAATTAGCTTTTATTTTTATATTTTCATTTTAATTTAATTTAAGTTTTAGCAATTTCATTCTGTGCTTTCGTCTTTACATATTTCTATTTAGCTTTATATTTATTTCCGTTTTAGTTTTTTAAATTGTATTACTTCAATTCAATTTATTTTATTTCAGTTACTTCCCAAAGAAACATTTCAAAATTTTGTTTGTTTCTATTTCATATTTCATTTTATTCCAGATTTATTTCAATTAACAAACCATTTTTAATAGTTTTAGTTAACAAATACAACACTTTACAGAATTTACATAATGAAATATATTTTTAAAATGGGAAAATATTAAAATATATTTTAAAATAATTTTTTTGTAAATGCAAATGTCTTAATTTTTTTATACATGTTTACAGTAAAAGAAAATTTCAGCTTCAGTTTAAAGTAAAGCACTCTCCTGTCCAACATGCATTTTTAGCTTCCCCAAAACTATCCCCTAATATCAGGTTATTAAAGTAATCGAATACACAATATCCATTGTTTTATTGCATTTAGTGCTTTAAAATGTGACTTACTGCAGTAAAATGTTGAAAACTGTATATCATTTTCCTAATGTTGCTCCTTACTGTCCTTTGATTTTGTTTATCAGAAAACTGGACAAGCAGCCTCATAACATTGAATATTGAATGTGATGGAAGGGAACGATGAGGTGGAGGGGTTTTTGCATTCAGATTCATTGTTTTGTTTGCTGATGGAGGAGCAGACTGAGAATCCAGTCTCCTGTCACGCCATCCAAACACCACGAGTCTGTGTTTGGTGTTGGCTGTGTGCATGACTGCTACGGCCACTGATATTGATCAGAGATTAGGTTTTATTTATAGCGCCTCGCGCTCGGATGGCTATTGAGAGGGAGTTAGCCTGCGCTTCCAATCTCATTAGCTTGGCTGCCATCTATCGATTTACAATCTCATTCCTTTGGCTCTATGAAGTGAAAAATGTAATGGCTGAATGCCATAAACAGTTGTCCATGATTAGATGCATTGCTTGCACTTTTCTCAGTGAGACGGAAGAGCTGTCAAAATCCTCCCCTGCACAAACATCTCCCACTGCGCGTCTGCTTTTGTGATAACAGACGTGACAGCCTAATGGGGCTTCCCGCGTTCAGAGAGCATTTATTAACGGCCACCGGTCGCCCCGAGTGCTGCTCTCTCACCCCGGCCATTCAGCGCTGAGAGTCGCATTGTGGAGTCAATGGAGCGTCATCTGTATAACGCCTGCGAATTGCCAGGAAAGACATTTGCCTTGAATTATGGGGAGGGATGCTGTGGTCGGGACCTCCCTTCAGCTCATTTATTCAACATGCACGCTGCCAGAGCCAAACGCAGGTCAGATTTACCATCTCGCAGACGCCTCGTTTGGTGGCTGGAGAAGAAAGCGCGCAGATGTAATGTGCAAAATAAAATACTGCCCAAGCCTGTTCAGAAAAGTTCAGAAACGGCGGCTTTGCAAAGCTCTCATTAGTGGTGTGATTGTGGACGGAGCTCAAGTAAGGCAGATCTGTATGGTTAAAGGTCTATGAATCATATAACATATATATGGTTCTGTTGTTTATTTGTGTGTTGTTGATAAAATAGAGCCACGCCCCTTTTATTCTCATTGAATATCTTGTTTCACTCTGAAATACTTTAAATGGATAACCAAAAATGATCAATTCTGTCATTTACTCACCCTCATGTCATTCCAAATCACATTAGTTAGAAACAGTTCATTTAATCGCTTTAGTTTGTTTGTAATGTTTTACGCTTCAGTTGGTTAATTTAGCATCTATTATTGAGGAGGTTCAGATTCTTTTGAGAGATCATCACTGTGAATAACAAGCAGTTACTAGTGATGCAGCGTAACACATGACTTTGTGTTGTCTTATCGCCTTATTTTCATTATTCTCTCTGAAGCGTTGACCTCTGTTTCTTCTGTCTTCCAGATTGTTTGATAACTCCAACGAGGGCTTCAGGAACTGGGAGTTCATGACGGTTCATTGCTGGGGGGAGAGAGCGGAGGGCACGTGGACGCTGGAGATTTCAGACTCGCCGTCTCAGCTGCGTAACCCTGAGGTGTTGGGTAAGGAACGGAGGAATGAGGTTCAGACCAGCATCAGGCTCAATATGCTTCCAGTGTAGACAGCCTAACATCAATGTGCTGCAGTGCCAATCATGTCCAGTCTAGACATAATATAAACATCTGACTTAAATATCTGACTGTATTCCCAAATTCAGAGCCTAATTATATTCAATATAAAGCTCAATATGAAGCTGAATTTGATTGTCCCTTCAATACTACTTTGCTTTCACACTGTATTATGTTGTTTTGCACAATTCTGCACATGTGAAATGCTCTCACCATTCCCTACTTATAAAACTAGTATTTTTTTATTTTATTTTAATATTTTTTATATATTTATTTATTTTAATTTTTTTAATTTTATTTCATTGTTATAATTTTATTTTGTGCTTTTTAATATTACAGTATATTTCATTTTATTATTTAAATTTTATTTATTTTTATTATGCATTTAATTTTTATATTTTTATTTTTATTTAATTTAATTTTATTATTTGACTGTTTCGGAAATCGCTTTGACTCTCAGTACTACATGTAGTAATTGTAGCTTTACTTTTTACATCATGTTTTGCAAAAAAGGAACCAATAAAACGTATAACATATTACACTTGCTGTGTTCTTAAAACCTATAAGCTAATTTTCTTACTTCACAGGCAGCTGAGTTCTATGTCCGCATCCTAATCGAAATGAATTCTCATAAGCAGACCTAGATGGACATTTTCCCACATTTTCTACACTGATTTCTTTTTTTTTAGCTTAACTAAACTCTGAATCGGTTTAGTGTTACAGATAGTGAATGGCGGTATGTCCAAAATCACAGTATGAGGTTTTGTTTTTTGCCCTGTAGGATTGCTATAGTTGACTAAAACTAAAACCATAAAAAATATATATATAAAAAAAACATGTTCATTATTTGAAATAAAAAAAATAAATAAAATAAAATAAAATTACATTACATTACATTTGAAATGTGAACTTGCCAAGGAAACTTTTCATATTTTCATTTAGTTTAACTTGATGTTATTTAAATTAATTAAAACTAAAACTGAAATAAAAATTAAATAAAAATATAGACGTGTTTAAAATGACAAAAAAACTAATTCAAAATATTAATAAAAACTATAATAGTACCTTAATTATAATAGCACTGCTGTCCTCTTGCCCATTAAAAGTATCTAAACTTACTTTAATAAATGTACTTAAACAAAATTGTGTAAGATATTATGAGATATTAATGAGGGAGTTTTTTTTTCTTAGTTTTTTCCCTGCAGGGTTATTATAGTATTATAGTGTACTGAAACTAAATCCATAAAATACATGTTCATTATTTCAAATAAAATAAACTTTAACTGAATCAAAATAAAATATTAGAAATGTAGTTTAACTTTAACTTGAAAACTGAAATAATAATAAACAACTATGTAGACGTATTAAAAAAAACATATAAAATTACAAAATTACGCAAAAAAAATTTAATTAAAATGAAAATATAAAAATAAAAACTTGTTCAAAATATTAAAAGTGTTAAAAAACTGAGTATCTCAATGATATTAAAATAACAATGTTGTCCTATTTCTCATTAAAAAATATCTGAACTTTAATAAATGTATGTATTTATATATATGTATATTATATTATATATTTATAAAAACTTGATTATAAAACGGATTGTTCTGGTCCTTGATTCTGATTGGCTGAGCTGCGTTCGACGCTGTTGTAAATTACTCTACAAACATACCCCTTTGTTTACGTTTGCCTGTTGCTCGGCAACCACATAAGTATACTTAAAATGGTGTAAAATATTAGATATAATGTATCTTATATTGTATACAGTATATTGAGTATAGTAAAGTCTGTTTTGCTTTCCTCATCGTCGAACAGATTTATGCTTCAACTTCTCTTCACGTGTGTCTCTTGTCCTCCTCACAGGACGTGTGTTAGTCACTGTCCTCTGGGTTATTTCGAGGACGGAGAGGCCCGCAGATGTCGCCGCTGTCACCGAGGCTGTGAGAAGTGTGTGACTCGCAGGCCGAACGGGTGCCGCTCCTGCCGGAGAGGGCTTTACTTCGACTCGAAGGAGAGCACCTGTGTGGAGACCTGTCCCGTCGGCTACTTCCACGACGACGGTGAGTCCAACGAAGATGAGACGTCCACTGATGCATTATTGAGCTGAAGTTTCTATATCACCATATGCAGCTAGTCAGTACCGTCGCAAGGGCTGTGCCAAGTGTGCGACCGCACAGGGCCTCGCGCCTCTAGAGGGCCTCGCTCCTGGCCTGCATTTTATGTCGTTTATGTCTAATTTTTATTACTGTTTTTCCACCCATTTTGTCCTTTAAAAGACTAAAATAGTCATAGCTGATAGACAGTATAAGACTCGGTGTATAAGAATGAGTAAAGCTGTTTGTTGTTAGGATGACAAAAAGTTTTAAAAGATAAACTTTTAGGCTGGTCTGCCTGAGTGGTCCAACAGCGCTCGTCAATGTCAAAATGATCGAGATAGCCAATCAAATCAAAGAAGGCGGGTCTTACTGTCACAACGCAGCGACAGTTCGTGGAAAGATGTAAGGAGTAGCCTACTGTATCTGTATTAGAAAACTGTTTTACGATACAAATGTTCAGCGACCGACAGTAATAGACTATCTAGTGATGCAAACTACTCAACTTTTTTATGAATTTTCGCCGTTTCGATTGAA